ACACACACACACACACACACACACACACACACACACACACACACACACGTACGTCAGGCACGTGACCCAAAAAATACAAAACAAAAGCATAGAGGGCTTTGGTGGGAGGGAAGGGGTTCTAAATAAATTAACATCTTTACAGATAAAACACTTGGATTGCAGAAATATCACTGAGGTTTTTGAGAAGGCCGTGCATTGGTTTGCATGCTAGAAGGTAACTTTTTTGAGGATTTCTCAGCAGACTGCCTGCAACCAGGAGACGAGGGCACTCCAGAATCTAGCTGGGAAGACTTGGATTTGCGAGCGGACAGCAGGGAATGTTTAGCAGAAGCAGGGTCCTTGGAGGCAAGCTGCTCTTTTCCAACTGCATTCACATTTGGCTGCTGGGAGCCTAGCGCCTGGGAGCCTTTCTCTGCCTTGTCATCCACTGCACTCTTAGAGACGGACTTGACTGAGCTCCCACCCACCTTCTTGGACAACAAGGTTGTCTTGCCAAGATCCGTCGACCGCCGGGTTTCCTTCTGTCTCAAGGCTGACTTGAAGAAGGACAGCCCCTTGTCCTCCGACTTGCTGTCCCTCTTCAGACCGGCCTTCATGTTCATGCTGGGGGAGCGCAGGCTGGCCATGGAGGAGCTGCGGACGTGCTTTCCGTCCCCCCTGCCGTCCCCGGCTCTGGTCTGGCTCACGCGAGGCGAACTGGGTTTGGGGCTGGAGGTGACGCTGGCTCTGTCGGAAACCAGGCTCTGTCTGGAGCCCTCTCTGCTTAAGCTCCTGTCTGAAGTCCTGCTCTTCCCAGGAGGGAAGGGGCCCCTCGGGGCAGGGCCTGAGGCTTTTTTGGCGGATGAGGAGGAAGCACTGTCAGTGAGGGAAGAAGCTGACTTCTGCTTCTGGAGCAAAGGAGATGACACGGAGTCCTGGGACTTGGGGGAGGACTCCTTTTGGCGGGCAGGGGAGGAATGCCGTCCACTGGCCCTGGAAGAAGAATCGGCTTTGCTTCGGGAGCGGGAGGGCTTTACAGAAACTTTTACAGGAACAGGAGAAGAAGGGGATGTACTGGAAAGAGATGATTCCTGGCTGGCCAAGACTGGCCTCCCCTTCCGCAAGCTTCTGCTTGGCTCAGGAGCGCCTCTGGAGCCAGGGGATCTGCTGGCTGTGCTCTCCGATTTCTTTGCGAGGGAGTCTGGCTGGCCTGGAGGTTTCACCTCTTTGACTGGAGAGCTGTCTACAGAATCGCTCTGATCCACATAAGCAATCTGGTTATTGTTATCAAATGGACCCGATATGGGGGGCAATGGATCCCCTTGTACTGAGCTTTTGCTCTGTGTGTCTACAACACTGGAGTTCAACTTGCGGGTGTCTGACTCGTCTTTGAACACACCTTCCATGACAGCCAGAGGGGCCCGACCCACAGCCTTGTGCTCCCGTCGACTGTGACTGTCGCTTGAGTCCTGGTAACTGCTGGACAGGTTCCTCAAGCTACCAAAGCAAGAAATGGAAACCTTGTCGTCCACTGCTTCCCCGATCTTCTCCAAGGTGGAGGCGGAGGTGTGAATCGGAGAGTCCCCTGAGAAGCGGGAAGGGGAACTGGAACGCATCTGCAGCTTAGCAGACAGGGACCAGGAAGGTCTGATGCAATTTTCATTGACGGCCAAGGGGCTGGTGACAGAAGATCTGGATGACAAGCTCTGGCGCTGGACGCTTCTCACGAACGGTCGAGTTGAGAAACCTCCTGAATGCAGCAAAGAGAGTGTCGTTAAGCTAAACCTACCAAATGTCCTTACTAGGACATCCATCTAAGACGGTAGGAAATCAGGGGGTCTGGGGTCAAGGAGTAGTCATGTGAGTTTAACTCTTCTGAGCCCAGTTCCTTTACCTATGAAATATGGGCATTCTAACTTGGGGATCAGCAAACCACCTTCTTGCTCAACATCAGGGGTCAGCAGACTTTTCCTCTAAAGGCCCAGACAGTAAATATTTTAGGCTTTGTGGGCCAGCTGCTCAACTGTGCCACCCTAGTGCGAAGGCAGCCGCAGGCAACACAAACAAATGGGCGTGGCTGTGTTCCAATAAAACTTTTTTTTTTTTTTTTACACAAATAAAGGCAGGGGCCATATTTGGCCTGTGGGCTATAGTCTGCTGACCCTTGTTGTAACTCACAGCGCTACTATGAGAATTAAATAAAATCTTAAAAGTCCTGTGCCCAGCAAGGCACCTGGCACTGCACAGCTGCTCAATAAATGTGAGCTACTTCATTTACAGCTTCTTCATCCTATTAAGAACACTGGGGCCCACAGCAGTGCAGTCCTTGCCCAAGATCACACAAACAGAGGCAGAGCTAACACCAGAACTGCAACCCCTTCCCCCCCAACTCAATGCCACAGGTAGGCTGGCCTGTAATCGTTGACTATGAAAGCAATCAGTGGAAAGCTTCCAAGGAAAATATTCATAATTAGAACACTATACTCCTATTTTAAGTGACTTAAAACTTCCACAGAAAATATTCTAAATTAAATTCTCCACACACTTGATGCTGTAGCTGTGGTATTAATAAAACTCTGTCTGGATGAGATCCTAAGAGATAGGCCCTGTTCTGTGGGCACCACCCAGCACCACTGCACGATGATGGTGCTGATATCGATTTCGCCAACTACACCATTTAAAAACAGACCGGAGCCAAACCATATCTAGGCTTACTGTTAAAACAACAGTGAATTCTAGGTTTAAAGGTTGTGTTGAAAATAACCTCTAAATAATTAACAAGCCAAGGTTCACTGGTCAGTTTTTCATAAAATGTCAGGAGCTACAGACAGGAGCTTCACAGTTACAGCCCAAGACTCTTTTTCTACAAAAAAAGAAGCAACAGCCAGAAGCAGGGGTAGAGCTGGAGCTGCGACAGAGCTCTCATCTGGCCTTCCTCTTCCAGCCTCCTGAGCGCCACTAGGAGCGGCTACTGGACGTGATGGAACTGCTGACCACAGAATGAGGCTTGCTGGGGGATGAGTCACTGTCCTCGTTATAGAAGCTGAGCTCACTCTCCCCTGCTCCTCCCAGCTCTCAGGGCTCCGGCTGCCCGACCCTCCCCACACCACCTGGGGTCCCCGTGAGAACCGAGGGCTGTTCCGCAACTACTCAAGCGGCAGCTGAAGGCAAAACACTGGAGTTCAATTTTTATCGGATTTTCAAAGCTTTTATACTGTGACTATCTTCAAAATTCCTAAAAACTACCTTTATGCAAAGGCAACAGCTTTTGTTCTAGATGCTCTGCACCCACAAGGGCACACCACAGATCCCTCCAGGGGAGAGAGCGTGGTGGGAAGGCGAGAAGCTGAGCAGTCAGGAGCCTCCACGCCAGGCCCCGCACACCAGGCAGCCCTCGGCAAACCACAACCTCGCTGAGTCCCCTCACAGCTGCTCTGAAGATTTCAAACAGCGCTTTGAAAAAAAACAGACATTACTGTACAGAGTTAAAGCCCCAGCCTCCACATGAGACCTTAAAAGTGGAAAACAACGGAGTGGAAGGAAGAAGTGCTAGGTCACAGAGGAAGAGCAAATGACCCTGTTATATAAAATGCTCCTCGACATGAGGGAGCCCGTGCTGTGTCCGTGAGTTGCCATTTTGGAAATCTGTCACCGAAACCCAGACCCACCATCATCTTCACTCCTTTCCCCAGTCATCTCCACAGACTCAGACAGCGAGGCTAGGGAGGTGCGTCTGGAGGAAGCTGCAGAGGTCACGCTGGCCTGCTTGCTCCCCGGGAGACGGCTCACCCAGTGTTCACACAAGGAGGAACTTGTGGAGCCTGCAGGAAAGGAAGTGGGCGCCGAGGTCAGGCCAGAATCCTGCCTGTGCCACACACGCCCTCACCAAGGGCTGCTGCCCAGGCGGCGGGGGACCTCACCGCCAGGTCAGCACTAACTCCCAGGCCCACGCTGTGCCCGCTCGAACGTCGCCTGTTGGGATGAAAAGGACAGACGCTCACACACGTTTGCAGTAATAAAATCCAAGTACAGGGATGGCTACTTCAGAACGCAAAGTCCGAGTCTTAGTGCTGGCAACAGAATGGAACAGATACAATCGTGCATATACTCATCTATTCTACAAACATTTATTAAGCACTACACCCCAGGCACTGTTCTAAGCACTTGCAGGAATACTTCTGACACAGAGGAAAAAAAAGCAAGCAGCAGTGTACTGTTATCTTCTAGGCCTGTGTGGTGGAATTTTTAAATCATTTTCACAATATTAATATATAAACACACACACGCATGCACATACAAGGCCACGTGCCATTGTGTCCCGTCTGTTCCAGGGAGGCCCTTAAATATATACTGGAGCAACAGAAACTGCTCTTGAAATGGAGAACATGAAGACACATGACTTTCTAGAGTAGATCTCAAGAGGGTGTCATTTCTGAGACTATCTCAGACTCTGGAAAGCACTGAGGGGCGGCACTAGAGCCCTGGAGTTCCCACTTTCTGGGAACTAAGAGCAGCTACGGACAGACGGCTGTACTGGGTGGGGTTTGACTCCAGCAGGGCTCACTCTGCTTCAGTGATGCTTCCTTTTAGCGGCTTCCAACTTAGCCCTCGCACGCTTCAAGGGGAGCAGGGATTAATAACGGATCACACACTGCCATGTCCCAATCCTCTGTCCTATTCTCTAAACTCCAACTCTGCATTAGGAAGCATTCGCCCCCCTGTTCGGATTGTGTGTGGCTGCACCGACGTCACGCGTGGGTACTGGTTCCTGCATTTACTAATAAGCACAACAGGCTAGATCCCGTCAAACTAAATCCAAGCCATCTAATATTTTTATAGCCTTCCCTAACAGAATAGGCCAACCTTAGTGGAAAAAAGAACGATTTCTAATGGTGCTTTACCCTTTACAAAAGGATTTAATGCACATTTGCCTCACAACGACCCCATGAGGCAGGTAGGATCAGTACACCCATATTACAGATGACACATATGTGGCTTGGGTGGGACATGCTCGAAGATAACCCGACCAAAATGTGGCAAAGCCAAGTCTTAGTTCTATTTCCAGTCCCTCGACTCTGAGAGCAGCGTGCTGCGCTGCTTCTTAGCTCCCTCACTCGTTTATTTACTCCGTAAGTAAACACCACGAGCGTGCTTTGAGCCAGGCTCCACTCCACCTCCACGGGAACTCCTGGTTCACAGCTGCTGGCACATTCCACCCCCATTTCCTTTAACTGCAACCATTCTGGTTTCCAGATTAAATGCAAACCTGAGAATTAATCTGATCCAACCAACAGCATCATGAGACCTCCTGGAGAAGTTCTCTGGACCATCAACTACAATTTTCTGCTCTCAAAACAAACCACCCAAGAGTAGAGTGGCCTTACCTGCCACCGAGCTGTTGGCCGACCATGACGGTATAGCTGTCCGCCTCTGGTAGAAGAGGATGTACGCCGTCTGCGTGCAGACCTCGTCTTCCGACAGCTGCTGCACGTCACTGTCGTCGAAGCAGTACCAGAGGCCGTCCACGGAGTTCTTGCAGTATGCTGCCAAAAAGAGCCCACCAGCGATCAGCACCAGGGCAGCCGCAACGGCCACTCCACTTGACCCACAGACACCATGCCTTTGGCTCATATAATTAATTCAAGAACTTTTAAAGGCTGCAGATAGTAATACAGAAAGAGGTAAGAAATCCAAATTCTAAATCACACTCAGGCAAAATGTTTCAAGAAATTCCAAACTATTCCAAAGGGATGAAATTCTATTTAATTTTAGAAAACACAATATACTTCTTTAAACCAGTGGATTTCAACCAGAGATGATTTTGCCCCAGGGGACACATTTTTGACTGTCACAACTGGGGGTGGGGGCGTGGGGAGGGTAGGATGCTAGTGCAATCTAGTGGGTAGAGACCAGGGGCGCCACTACATGTCCCACCATGTGCGGGACAGTCCCCACAATACAGAATTACCCAGCAACAATGTTACTGTACCAGTATGCAGAAACCCTGTTTCAAGCATGTTGTAACAGTTTAGTGTTTCTTAAAGTCAGAAAACAACAGAACTAGAAATGATGATATTAATGAGAGCAGTAGCTAACATTTGTTTAGCACTTATTATGTGCATCTCATTTGATCCTATGAAATTTGTTCTATTATCATTGCCATTTTACAGAGGCTCGAAAAGATTAACCAGCTTGCCCAAGGTCATGCAGCTGGTGAAGGGCAGGGGCCAGCTCATTACAGGATTATCTAGTCCCTGAGCTTAAAGCCTTATCCCACCCTGCCTCCCTCAGAGGTAGCACAAATGATGCCTGCTGGAAGGCCCCTGGCAAACTGAGAACACTGGAGCTCATGAATGCATGCGGCCTTCCCTCCAGTCCAAACTCTAAGCTGAGATAAAAATAAAGAGCACTCAAGTACCAGCGAGGACACAGCTTAGCGTTCATGGAGACACACCATCCTGTGAATCATCAAGGAGTGTGATAAGCTTGATCCAGAAACATACACTCTTACAATTCTTTCTAAAAAGACCCATTTATTGGGGTGAAAATAAACGAGTGCTGGAATATTTAGCTGAACGCTGGAACAGGCTCAGTAGGGCCCCGGGGGCAGGACACATAAGGCCCCGAGTGGCACCAGGAGTGACTCCCTCGACAGGCCACAACCACTTTGCTAAGTATGGACTCCGAGGAGACGAAAGGGACCCGGAAGAGGAAGGGCTATACTTCTGCTCTTCTTTTTCCCGAAAAAGAAGAGCAGAAGAAGAACCTTTGACTGTAGGGAGGAAAGTCGTCTGCAGCTGTGGACTCACTGGAACCAGACGGCAGAGAAAGGGAGACACAAGCAGCAAATGCAGCTGGTAAAACAGCGACTGCTTGGTCAGTGGTGTCATCAGGCTTGCCGGATGAACGACCCAGCCGGTGAGGGGCTGCTATTCGGGAGCGGGAGTGGGAGGTCTGTAAGGGGGAACGCGCCCGAGAGGAGGTGACGGAGCAGCCTGTACCAGCTTCAGTCCGTTTCTCCTCAGGATGGTCTGTCCTCCATCACGGTGTGGAAACTAAGGCAGCACAGGGACTCATGAATGGGTCAATGACGTATTTATAAAATAATTCCATGTGCTTTTCTTCCCAGCGCTATTTTCTGAAGTATTTCCTAGACCAGTGCTACTCAAATGGTGGCTCACAAACCGGTGCCAGTCCACGCAATGAGCACCACAACGAGGTAAGCATTTAAAAACATTCATAGCAATCTGATACTGTATGATACTTTTATTGTGTTTTTGCAAAAGTACTGGTTCATGATTCAGGAAGGATTGGACATTTTAAAAAAAGGTTTAAGAAATTTTTTAAAAGGTTCCTCATCACAGATGGTTTGAGAAGCACTGTTCTAGACTCCTTACACAAGTCAGCCATACATGTACCATGTAATTATAGTTAGAACCAGTGCAAAATAAAAGAACACATTAAAATAAACACTCCAAATGAAAGCTTAAAAACAAGATATCTTTAACTCAACAATGCTGAGGTACTTAAAATGTTCTCATCAGAAAAGCAGCCATATGGCCTAAGCACGGGAAAGGGATGCTTACCACGAGCCCCTCGTCGGTAACAGGCCCCAGGAGGCAGGCACGAGCACTTCTGCCTCCCTCACGTGGTCGCCAGGTTTGAATAAGGTTACCCACCTAAGGTCACAGAGCTAGGAACACGTGTCTAGCTTCTAACCCATACTCCTCTCACTAATTTGTACTGCCTCCAAGGCAGTTATGGGTTTCCGGGCACTTTCCAGAGTCTATGCTATACAAAGAGCAACATGACAGGTGAAAATCTGGCACTGTCCGATTTTCCTCAACAATTTCTTGCTAGAAACCACACAACGTGCTCACCCATATTTTCCTGAGAAACACTGTTACACACAGGAGATTCTCTACCAAAGCTGAAGCTACATGAACGCCAACCAGTGACGCTGGCAAAGGCACTACTTCACCAGCTCATCAGTGAAATTAAATTCCCTCTAAGTCCCCTTCAATTCCCAGAGTCCCTGAGTATATAACTCTGTGACTCAGTATCGAAGAATGCGGATATGACCGGGAATGCCACAAAAGCAAAAATCCAACTAGACACACAACACTTATCATACAAGTGGCCCCCCAAAATATAAATATAACATAGGTAAGACACAAAATACAGTATTAAAATTTGGCTTAAACCAAAACACGAGGTAACACATACTTAAGCATTTAATTAATATTAACTTTGTCTTCTACGGACTTTCCAATAGATCCTCTGTCCCCTTTTTCTCCTTCAAGTACTTCCGAGGGCAAGTAGAGGCCATCCAAACGGCTCCACTACGAGATACGCTCCAGGTCGGGATCACTCCTCTCACAAGTGACTGCGGCCGGCAGCGTACTGAAAGAACTAGAACTAAACAGGTTTCGAGAACAAAAGACTGTTGTGTCCAGTCACACTCCACGTCCCCTGTCTCCCGAGGAAGAGCAGGTTGAGAGAGTAACTGTGCTGGGCCAAGGAGGGGGTCTGGGGCCCGAGAGGCTCCTTCACCATGTTGCAGGGGTCTCAGGGTTAACTGCCGGGGAACAGTCTCAGAGAGACTGAAACACCAACTGGCACAGCCTACCCTCCTTTACCGCCCCCTACCTTTATGAATCACTAGCACCCTGGGGTCTTGCTGCAGAAACCACTGAACTGCAGAAACAAAAAGTCCCAGAGAAGTGTTCATGCCAAATAGGCTGAGTGAGAAGGACGCAGAAATCTGAGTCCTGGCCACCTATACAGTAGGAGGACCCTCACATCAAGTGCCCCGACATACAGATGTCCAAGCAAGAAGCCCCCAAATCTACCTGCCTCCCCAGCATGCATGAATGCCCTTAACCCAATAATTCCATTTCTGAGACTCAATGTCAAGGAAATACAGAATTAAAGTACAGAAAAGGTGACTACACACAAATATGTCCATCAGTTATCTTCAAAGTTAAAAACCAGAAACAATATATGTGTTCAACAATGGGGAATGGTTATATCACATTAGAGTTCCATCAACTGAATATTCTTTGGTCATTAAAAATAATATTTACAAAAATTAAGCGTCTGTTGGGACTTCCCTGGTGGCACAGTGGTTAAGAATCCGCCTGCCAACGCAGGGGATACAGGTTCAAGCCCTGGTCCAGGAAGATCCCACATGCCGCGGAGCAGCTAAGCCTGTTTGCCACAACTACTGAGCCTGCGCGCTAGAGCCCATGAGCCACAACTACTGAGCCCACATGCCACACTACTGAAGCCCGCGCGCCTAGAGCCCATGCTCCGCAACAAGACAAGCCACTGCAATGAGAAGCTCGTGCACTGCAACAAAGAGTAGCCCCTGCTCACCACAACTAGAGAAAGCCCATGCAGCAACGAAGACCCAATGCAGCCAAAAATAAAATAAATAAAAATAAAAACAAACAAATAAATTTATTAAAAAAAAATTAAGCGTCTGCCCCATTAGCCCATAAGGGCCTCACGTGTAGGCAGCAGGTTACTAATCCCAATAGCTTCTCCTGACCCTCCAGGAGGAGGCCGCTCTGACCACTCTCTCCTCCAGCCCCTGCTCTGTTCACACTTCAACCACAGAACCTAATACACATCCTGCTCCTTCATTTTAAGTGTACCTACACCGCCTCAACCACTTGATTACACTCTTGGAAGACAGAGGTCGAGATCTTTTCATTTCCAGTGTGTCTCTGATGTGACACAGCCCAGTGCAAGCAGGACGTAGAGGAGGTGTTCCATAAAGGTTCACCTGAACAGAGCATTGGACATTTAAAAAAATGGCCAATCACAACAGTATAAAATAATGGCCAGAACGTACAGAAAAACACTGGAAGGAAACACCACATATCAAAATGTCACCTACATCCAATGGGATATTATCAGCCTTAAAAAGAGGAAATTCTGACAGACGATGCAAAGTGGGTGCATCTTGACTGCATTATGCTAAGTGAAATAAGCCAGACACAAAAGGACAAATACTGTATGATTCCACTTACATGTGGTACCTAGAGCAGTCAGATTCATAGAAAGAATGGTGGCTGCCAGGGGATGGGCGAGGAGTAAACAGGAAGTTACTGTTTAATGGATGCAGAGTTTCAATTTGGGAAGATGAAAGAAACTCTGGAGATGGACAGTGGTGATGGTTGCACAAAGATACGAACGTACTTAATGACACTGAACCGTATGCTTAAAAATGGTTAAAACGGTAAATTTTGTTGTGTATATTTTACCACAGTTTCTAAAAATGTTACCATTTTTTGAGCACTAATCTCATGGGTTATTTCTGAGTGATAATCTCGTGGGTTGATAGCACTGTTCCGTCTGTCTCTCTCTAGTCTCTAAATTTCATATGATGAGCACTATTGCTTTGACAAATGAAAAAGTAAATTTAACCATACAGCAAAAAGAAAACCCCTTCCAAGTCACTCGAAAGACACTATAAAAGTGGTTCACAACCACTCCAAATAAAAGAGATGTTAGGTCCTCAAGGAAGCAGAGCAAAACCTTAAACGGGGCATGCAGGTGAGGTCAAGAAAGCAAGTCCAGGGTGAGCCAGACGATGTCACCCATCTGCACACACCATTCCCTACTTGGGTCAGAGCCCGACCAGACGATCTAACTCAGGGCAGAGAACCAAAGGATGAAAACTGCCCTCACGGTTGGCACACTGCCTGCTGGAAGAGAAAGCGAGGTTCTGAAGCAAAGCAACCCTGTCACAAGCAAAACATGTCGGGAGGAATCGTCAGCACAGGCGCCCGGCCTCTCGCGCTGCAGACCTGTGTAGTGCCCCCCTTGCATGGTGCCGTGATGATTGCACACAGCATACAGGTCATAGATGTAGTCCTCAGGGTCCCGCCCGAGTCCGTAGGGCCGTCTCCATGGAGACCAATGGGATGGCAAACTCCAGCTGCTCTGGCTTCTCTTAACCACGTGAGGTGTCATGTCCAGGCCAGTCAGAGGGAACTTCACCATGTTCTGAAGTTTCATACGCTTGTCTCCTTCCTGTGGCAAGAAGAAAAACAAGTTCTGATGGTATTTTCGTGCAAGCAGATGGTAGATCAGTTTAGCGTGAAAGGCAGACCCTATCAACTGAAGTAGGGTTGAGTTACCTATCTGATGTTTCCAAAGACACATACAACACAGGGAAACAGATTAACAGTTTTATCTAACTGGAGGAACAGGTTTTAATATCACCAAAAATGGAACCAGCGATGATCTACATATAAGGGTTAATGAGCCTTCACTGCCTTACCTGATAAAGGGTTCATCCTGAAACCTCTGTCACGAAAGAGGCATGAAAAGTAATGGAATAACAACGTATGTGAAGGGAAAGCACAGTGCTGGCACAGAACAGCCATTCACAGAACAGGAACTCTTTCCTTCCCAACTCCTCCGACAAATTAACAGTTAACAGTGACTTAACTTAATATAGTCATTTAGTTGACAATCTTGGGCAATCTGTATTTCCCATTAAGCCCACTGGGAAATCCAACCATCAGTTGAGTAGATATTTACCGAATGTTTCCTGTGTCTATGGGAGCTTTAAAAAATTAATCGGGCACAGGTAATTCCCATCCCAAGGAACTATGGACCTACTAAGGGAAGAAAAATGTTCCTAAGAGAAAGGTAGGATGGGTCTTGCATGGTCAGGAAGGTCAGGCTAAAGAACCTGGACCTTGTCCTGCAGTCAAGGGAGAAGCACTGAGGCTTTGAGGGAGGAGGTGATGCCATCAGAGCTGTCATTAAGTAGTGCCCAAAACATGGTAGAAACGGAAGAGCAGTGTAGGTTACGAAACCAATGAAAAGACACTGCAACTGCAACCAGCTCGGAAGTATCAGAAGTTGGAACTGGCAGGATGACAGCAAGAATGGGGAGAAGGGGACACGTACAGGAGGCAGTGGAGAGGCACAACCAGGCCGAAGAGGTGACTGCCTAGGTGACAGGGAAAGAAGAGTCAAAGATGACACTGCAGTTTTGAGTTGGGGCGCTGGAAGGGTGATGATATGTCTTCAAAAGAAACAGAAAGCAAAGGAAGCCAGTCTGTGTGTATGGAAAGAGACAGAGAAGCTGGGTTCAAACCCTCAACTGGCTGTCCCCCTGAAAGATCCCAATGGAAGCGTACAGCTGGGACACTCAGGGCAAGTGCCCACTCCTCACTACTACAGGAGCTGGACCCCAAACCTGTGTGTGAAAGGCCACCCTGGGGACCATGTGCACGCCCCCGACACAGTCACTTCATCAGCCAGCCCTAGACATCTCTCAAGTCTCTCCAGGTCTCTCCACCTCCACTGCCGCAACTCCACTGCGAGCCATCGGCCGGCCCCCGCCCCCGTGGAGACTGCAAAGGCCTCCTTCAGGTCTCCCTGTCTTCATCCTTGTAGCCTCTAATTCTCCACACAGCAGGCTGAATGGTCTCCTCCAAGCACAAATTCGGTCATGTTGCTTCCCTGCTTCAGAATCCCACTCTGCCTACAAGGACTGCTTGGACGACCAGCCCCTGCCTGCTCTTCTACCTCAACGTACGCCTTTCTCCCCCCGACCCCCGGAGCTGCAGCCACACTGGCCTCAGCTTTCAGCCTCCTGCACACGCTCTGCACCCGCTGCTCCCTCAGCCACTACACATGTGCAGCCCCGCTCCCAGCTCACCCGGTACAGGCCTCCTCCTAATCTTTCAGATGCAAACTTTCTTACGCCAGGCTCAGACTCCTCCAGCGTTTACCTCTCATTTACCTCTCTTACAAGGGGGCTGCCCAGGACAACTCTAACCTTAGGAATAGAGAGCCTCTGTGGGGAAACTGACTCACAAAGCAACACAACTCAAAGCAGATTTTCTTTGTATATATTTATGACTCATCTCCACAACTGTACAACTGCTCCTTGGAAGCAGGACAACACCTGTTATTACTTTAGGCAGAAATAGAATTCTACCCACCCCCAAGAAAGGCGCTCAGCTTTTTTTTTTAATCCCAAAGTGCACTTACTTGAGCACAACATTTACAAATCTGAAGCAAATCCTCAGGAACAGAGTAAAATACCTGCAGTATGAACTACAATGGTGAGGATTTAAAGGGCCACAGGACGCGCAAACTGCTCTGGGAAAGAGCAAAACACATGGCCCCAAACGCAGGGGCAGATGTGTGTCTGCGACAACACAGGATCACAGGATCAAACAGGGACACCAAAGAGCTCCCCGCCCAACAGCCCACCAGTAAGGGGCGTAAGAAACTTGGTCGCAGCTTTTTTCCCTATGACAGAGGGTTTCCTTACCTGTCGAAATCTCTTTAGATGTATAATGAGCACATCAGGCAGAGTCCAGAGGCTTAAGGTAATGCTCCCCTGCTGCAGCTGCTTACAGTGCGGGCAACGCCAGGCGTCATCTGGGGCAAGCTGAAAACAAGGAGCACGACTTCTGTTAAGAGCCGCTTCAGGCAAGACTTTGCTACAGGAGACGGCCAGACACTTCCCGGCCAGGGCGCGGCACGGCGCTGGATCTCCCCAAACCATGTCCGATGGGAGCCGACAGAAAAACACAATTAAGAGTGGCGCCTGGTTAGAGCTGGCACCCGAACATTTGCTGAACAGACTACCTCTCCAAAAGGAATGACCAACCAGGTAAATACTGCACAGAGATGTTAGATGCCACAGAAGCACCTCATGCTCAGCACACTCCCAAGCTCAACTCGTCGCCTTTACATCAATATAGCTCCCTTTTCTCCTCCTCCTGTATGTCCTACCCCAGCAAATACCACAACCACCCGTCAAGAGCAGAACACGGGGGGTTAACCCAAAGCCTCAAACCCTTCCCTCTTCCTCTGCTCCACGTCCATCCGAGGTAACACTCTCTGCCATTCCTCACACCCGTCTCCTCCTCTCCATCCACCGTAATTCAAAGTCCTCACTCGCTCTTACCTGGACTTCCTCAAGTCTCTTAATTGTCCTCTCTCCCCCAAGCATCAAACTGCTCCGAACAACCCTCCCCATCCTGCTACCAACAAGATCTTCCTCAACATCCATCTGAGCCCTCGAATCCACGTACGTCACCTCTGCAGGCAAGGGTTTCAGGATGACAGCACAAAGGTACTAACAGAGCAGGTCTGGTAAGAGAGATTTTTAAAATCTCCTCTGGATTTCAGAAGATGCGTCAGATCTGGGACCATCAACACAATGAGGTAAGGGAAGCCACGGAAACAGATGGCAATGCCCACTCAGATGGAAGAGAAAGAAGCCAAGGACAGAATCTTGCAGAAGGCCGATTTTTAAGGGAAACACAAAGGTCGAGAAACCACCAGAACCTGAGGCTGCACAGTCAGAAAAATAGGCAAATCAGAAGCATTCCTTTTATGCACACCAAGAAAAGAGAGTGGCAAGAACAGGGTGGTTATCAGTACCATAGCCCACGGAGAGGTCAAATGCAGACTGAGCAGAGGCCACTGAACTGAGCAAACTATGGGCCCCGAGAACTTCGGAGAGCAATGTCAGAAACGCAAGTCAGACAGATGACAAGAGTTTGCAAGGGAGGAAAGGGAAAGACCTGAAATCACTAAATGGTAAAGTTACACAGAAAAGAAGAGAAAGACCAGCACAGTAGTTTGAAAGGGAAGCAGAAGTGAGGGAGTTATTTTTCCTGAGAGGGAGATCCTGTCATGTGTGTAGGAAAGATGGGGGGAGACAGAAGTCTGGGTGGATAGCAGTGAATCAGAAAGTTAGGCAGGCACAGCACAGGGAGATCAGCTCAGTGCTTTGTGACCACCTAGAGAGGTGGGGAGGGAGACGCAAGAGGGAAGAGATATGGGGATATATGTATATGCATAGCTGATTCACTTTGTTATAAAGCAGAAACTAACACACCATTGTAAAGCAATTATACTCCAATAAAGATGTTAAAAAAAAAAAAGAAAGAAAGTTAGGCGGGAGGAACCTAACTGTCATCTGGCATGTCCACATCTGTGCTAACACGCTGTCTACAGATGTGGCCATCAGCCCAGTGCTCGCGGTGAAGGAACAGGTTGTTGTTTATTTGTTTTTTAATTTCCAATACATCATAAACAGATACTCTTTGATAAGATACAGTAAGAATGTCAAGACAATGTCTGGCAGCTTTGACAGTTTCTACAACACTGCTCGACTTCTGTACTTATCTCGTTGTAAACTGCCACAAAGAGCTGCTAGGCCTGCAGAGCACCCTTGGAGCGTGGCCAGCCTCGCTAACTGCCCAGCAAGGAAGACGACTAGCCCCAGAGGCAGCTGTTCCACTTTCAGGCAGTCTGTTACAAAGTTCTTCCTCTTATTAAGACAAAATCACTCTCCCTGTAATTTCCAATCTCTAATTCTGCTTTTTAGATACAATTAAGTCCAACCCCTTATCCACAGGATGGCCCTCGAAGTATGTGAAAATAACTATCAGATCCTCACTTAAGGTCTCCTTCGTCAAGATACACTCAGCCGCGCCATCCCCTATCCACACTCTCTGCTTGTGCCCCGGGATGTCAGTCTCTTAACAGTGAACATTTAAGGTAATGAGAAGAGCAGTGCTATCACCATCTGAGTTCTGGACACTGTTTCTAAAGCATCCTTAGGTAGCCAACAGCGGCTGACACCCACATGACACTGCTGATCATACTGAGCTTGAAGACAACGTGACCCCAAAGTTATCGTCACACAGCCCACTGCTAAGTCTGACCTCCTCCTCTTCCATATCTGGACTGTTATTTTTGGACCCAGTGACTGAGCTCCCCAAGGAACACTCACTCATTCGTTCACTGTGGCATAGATTTGCTGAATGCCTTCCATGGGCCGGACACTGCTAGACATGCTGGGGTTATTTTACGACCAGGATGGATTCTCTCACCTGCTGTGCCCCAGCCACAGTGGCCTCATTTCTTTTCTCAACCTTCCTCTGTCTTGGTCCCTGCTATATTCCCAGTTCCTAGCACAGTACCTGGCACATAGTGTGTACTCAACAGACATGGATTGAATGAACAAAGCCCTATTAAAATGTATCTGGCTAGCTTGAAAGATCAGCGAGATGTTCTGATCTGATCAGATGTTCTGATCAATGTTATCATCTAGTAGGTCTGCTCACCTTTAAGCTTTGTGACATTCTCAGACATCTCCCAAATCAATTTAAGAAAAAAAAAAGCTAAATAGGATAAGGTGCTACATACAGCATGTGATCAACCAGTTTCAAAGCCAATTATTTATATAAGCCCAAGATTGGAAAAATACGTCTAATGAAAAACTATTAAAGGAATTAGCTGTTAACTGCTTGGGGGAGAAAAGACTTAGAAGATGAAAACTATTTTCAAATATTTGAAGGACAAACAAGTAGAAGAAAATGAAGACCTGTCCTCTGTTCTTGACGACCTGAGAGTTCACCTGCTGGCTGTAGCAACCAGGGACATATTTCAGGTTAACGTCAGTCACCATCAGAGATACCCTAAGAGAAAATGGTGTCTCTGAAAAACAGCGGCTGGATAATCACCTATTTGAAATTAGGCAGAACTCAACCATTAGAAAAAAGAAATTTTAAAGCCCCCTCTGACCCTGAAATTGCATGATTCCCTATATGCAAGAGTGAGCAATAAGAATCAGTAGCCAGAATTATGATCCTAAACATCAACTCAAAACCAGATGAACTCCAAGAGCTCTCGTCAAGGTTTCTCAAGGCGCCTGAACCTGGAGAGGTTTAAAAAGCACAAAGGCCTGTTGCACAGTGAACACCAAGAGTGCCTTAGTTCCTTGGTTTCAACTCTGTGCTAGAGCAACGTCTGTTCTTTTCCTCTACACTGAAAGCTTATTTATCCTTTGTAAAGTATTCAGAAAGTCAGCACATCATATTAGTTGTATTAAAGAGTATGAATGATCCAGAACATCCTTCCATAAATCTGCTTTATCACGAACTATAGTTGCATCTAACTGAAGATCTCTAGTATTAGTGGCGGTTTTGTAACCATGTGTTTGTTATAGGATCTTCATCTCAAAATAATAACAGAAGGATTTGAAGCTGCAAAGAAAAAGGCACTTCAGTTTTGGCGACTAGTCAATATATGCAAAGAGATGAACAGTGAAAAAACACTTACAGACGTGGCCAGAACATCTCTACATACTAAAATTCATGCTAAACTTGCTGACGTTTTAACAGACGCTGTAGTGGACTCCATTTTGGCCATTAAAAAACAAGATGAACGTAGTGACCCCTTCATGGTTGAGATCACAGGGATGAAACATAAATCTGAAACCTATACAAGCTTAATCAGAGGTCTTGTTTTGGATCATGGGACATGGCATCCTGATATGAAAAAAAAAGTAGAAGATGCATACATCTTCATATGAAATGTGCCATTAGAATATGAAAAAACAGAAGTGAATTCTGGCTTTTTTTTTAATAAGCGTGCAGAAGAGAGAAATTAGTGAAGACTGAAAGAAAATTCGCTGAAGATGGAGTTAAAAAAATAATAGAACTTTGAAAGAAAGTGTGGTGGTGATTCAGATAAAGGATTTGTTGTTATTAATCAAAAGGGAATTGACCCCTTTGCCTTAGATGCTCTTGCAAAAGAAGGACCTAAGAGAAATGTGGAAAGGCTGACGCTTGCTCGTGGTGGGGTAGCTCTAAATTCTATTGATGACCTAAACCCTGATTGTTTGGGAAATGCAGGACTTGTCTATGACTACACACTGGGAGAAGAGAAGTTTGACTTAATTGAGAAACGTAACGTCCATCACATTACTGGTCAAAGGACCAAATAAGTACACACTCATGCAAATCAAAGATGCAATCAAAGGTGGCTTGACAGCTGTTAAAAATGTTATTGATGATGGCTGTGTCATTCCAGGTACTGGTGCAGTGCAAGTGGCAATGGAAGAAGCCCTGATTAAATAAAAGCCCAGTCAGTGTAAAGGGCAGGGCCCAACTTGGGAGTTCAAGTATTTGCTAACGCAGTGCTCACTATTCACAAGGCTCTTGCTCAGAACTCTGGTTTGGACCTTCAGGAAACACTAGTTTGAGTCCAAGCAGAACATTCAGGTCAGCTTGTGGGTGTGGACCTGAACCCAGGTAAGCCAATGGGAGGCATATGGGAACACTACTATGTAAAGAAACAGCTTCTTCACTCCTGCACTGTAACTGCCACCAATATTCTCCTGGTTGGTGAGATCATGAAAGCTGGAATGTCTTCTCCGAAAGGAAGGCTGAACTGAAGCTTCCCTTGTATCACCTGAATTATGAAGACTCTCCAGAGTGATATGAAGAATATAGCTACAGAATTTTGCTCCAAGCTTCAAATGATTTTCAAAGGCATTTTCTTTTCCCATATGAAAAAAGGACAGAATACTGGCACCTATTCAAATTCTGAAGTTCTGAAATTATATTTACAGTATTTTTTTAATTGCACTGCAGTGTACACACGTACAGCAGGCCATATTTATCCAATAACAGGATGTTTAGCTTTAGCTTCAGTTATATAAAAATATATGTTAGATAAACATGTTATCTACCTTGTTATTAAATATTCCTGTTGAAAAAAAAAAAAAACACATAGGCAAGGGTCCTATCCACTATTTGTCCATCCATTCATTCAAATATTTACTGAGTACCTACAATCTGCAAACACTATGCTAAGTAGTCTAAAGCATTGTCCAAGAGAACTTTATGTCTATATCTACACTGTCCGATACGAGTCACTAGCCACATGTGTCTCCTGAGCCCTTGAAATGTGGCTAATGCAACTAAGGAACTGAATTTTTAATTTTAATTAATTTTAATTAAAATGGCACCTATGTTCTTAGTTCCAAAAAGTTGAGAACCACTGATCTAGTTACTAAGGAAAATAATTTAAAATCTCTAAATTGAAACAAAAATATAACTTTATCATTAACCATTAAAAAGTAAAAAGAAAAAAAAAAAAAGGAACTATACAAAGGTTCACATCTAGAGCATTTCATTTAATCAAGGTTTTCCAGAAATTTAAACTACTTTTTGTTAAAATCCTAAGAGGAATAACACTAAGATGCACATCACATGTGCAAAACCTACGTAAATGCAAAAATCCTTGGGGAGTTTTCTGGTGCATAATTTGTTTCCCCACTGTCATCTTGCCCTGGGCCCTCCCTACTACCCTCACCACCCAACAAATGCTGCCCAACCCTTACCCGCTCCTCTTTGGTGTAGAGTTGGAAACACTGGGATAAAGTGCAAGTTTGAGGCTGATGGTGACGCTCCCTTTGCAGCCGGACACTTTCTGCATCAGGGATATACTCATCTTCGGTATTTACAAACAAGCTGCAATTGGGGGAGAAAAAGCATGTATTAGAGAATGTCTTGGAAAACTGATACAAAATACAATTAACAGCTTCACAACATGGCTGTAAATTCATAACCAAAAAGGTCAATATATAAGAAAGTAAAAGTGGCAATCCAACTTTTCTATGTTCCAAAATGTCGTGAGACGTTCTCTATCTATAACGTTATTTTCAAGAAATAACTTGGAATTGTTTTTTCTGGGATTGGGCACAAACTGTACTGATTAATCATATATTCTTGTCCTCTGTATCAAAGGGCATGCATTTGGCATAACTTGCTAGAGTTAATGGGTCTGTAATAAAAGAAGTAATTTGACCTACACAGTAGTTAATGAATATATAGCTTCTGTCTCATTAGCAGCAAACAAACGTTCTAAGGTTTTGGGATCCAGATGACAGAATGTGTAGGAGAGAAATAATAAATTACTTAAATAAAGGATCAGCAACACACTTGGATACTTAGCTAAAGAAAACAGAGGTTTGTGTTTCAGCTAATTTGAAAGATCAAAGGTATGCTATTATAGTGATAATTAAGACAATGACTCTACAAACACTAAGTGAAAAAAAATACTTACAAATCTTTTGTCTCCTTGTCCCATTCTACCACTAATTTCACATGAGCAGTGCCACCTGGTCCACAAGATTTTAGTGCCCTATAGGATGGGGAAGGAAGTCACATATTACTTTCTAAATAAATGATTTTAATTAAATATACATCCTATCTGAAATCTGAAATCATAGTGTGATTGCTGAAAATCTTCATCATCGTTCCCCATCAGAAAAGGTTTCTTATTTAATAACTTGATTACAACTGGACTGAAAAATCCTTAAATTAAAATATTCAATATGGAAATAAAGATATTGGAATAAATTTAGTACCACACTATAAGGTCATCCACAATAACTCTTAAGATGTTATGATCTTTCCAATTTTTGTCCAATATCTCACCAAATCAATAGAGACTGGACGGGACGATAGTCTCTCTGGGAACAAACTCTGCTCCTGCATCTCTCCACCTGCCCCCATAGGCCACGCTTGGTCCCTGGACCATGCCCACACCAATGCAAACTGTGCCTTCCTACAAGGCACCCCTCAAGTTTCCCCTCACTTATTTCCCCTGAGCTCCTTGGCCCCTTCGCCATCTCCTGAGATACTCAGCATTAACAGTCAGTATTACCCATCAAATAGTTTTTAAGTTTTGCAATGTTTTGGATCATTATCTAATCTATTAACTCTAATCTCTAAAACCAAACAGTGAGTTGCTTTCAAACAGAACCATGTTGTATACTTTTTTGGAATCCTGAAATGCAGGGCACTACGATATTTGTTGAAAAAGTCATTATAATAAAAACAATAATGTGTTTTTATATTTATATGTATCCATATATGTATCGTGTGTCTATATACACATATCTCTATTACTTTATTAATAACAGAAGTATGTTAAAGCACAGAGATAGCAGAGGGGAGAAGATAATTCTAAGGGGGAGAGGAGGGACAGTGTGAAGAGAGGCTCAAAAGGAATGAATTATCAACAGAGGAAACTACACGTGCAAAGGCACACATAAAACCATATTGTGCATTCAAACAACCCTCAGTACTTTGATGCTGCTGAATGTTTAATATAGTGGGGAGAAGAAAGAGGCCTGACAGAAGGGAAGTAGTCAGGGTTCAAACTGTGGAGAACTTCACATACTGTGGAAACTGGGCTTTATCTTTGAGGCCACGGGTTACCATTTAAGGATTTCAAGAAGGAAAGTGTTATGATTAGAATCCTACTTTGGAAAACTTTTATCTTGATGAATATGAAAGTGCAATTCATCTGCGGTCCTGAGACCAATCAATTTACTTAGTACTCTAGGCTTTCCCGATTCCAAAAAAGATCATAAAACATACCCTACTCAAATATGAATCAAAATTAAAATAAGTGTTTACTTTCTAAGTGAGCCTGGAGGACCCACCACACTTAACGTGGAAATTACATCAGACATCACTAGAAATTACACACAAACATATATGAAAGTCTAGAAGGTGATTTTTTTTTTTTTTACCTTTCTACTGTTGGGTGGCACAGGGGCTGCTCCTCCTGGGGCAGCAAGTATGTTATTCCCACAACACTGACCACTCGCAAACTGAATGGACACACCTGCAACAAATGGCAAAGGTAAATCAGGCTGAGTTTCTCTTCGAGGGCATGTGGTTCACCGGGGCATTTCCAAAACAGATTAGAGCGAGAGCAAACTGTTTTGCAAAATGCTTCTCTACAACATTCTGGGAGGCTGTTGAGCCACTCTAATACACTTTAAGTATGATTGCCCCAAATGCAATTAACATATCAAATATGTTACGCAAGACAAGTAATATGTTACTTTAGCTGAACATTAATATAAGTTTTCCACGGATACCTTAACAAAGAAATCATAATTTTGAAAATATATAGATAGTCTACAAAATCTCTCCAAGCCGATCACGTGCTAAACTTTATTAGACAAACATTATAAAGGAACACCTGGCAGTGCATGGAAAACCGTGCAGTGGTCAGCTCCCTTCATAAAATGAGGGACAGTCCTCATTCTGGAAAACCTGAACACAGCAGATTTTACTACGCAGCTTTTCTCCAGGGCTCCCCAGCATTCCAGCTCAGTGTCTGGTCTTCCCTAAGGGCAAAGGTCTGAACTTCCAATCTCACTGTAATGACTTTCTTCACTGGGTACACACATGCTATGCTGGAGTACCAAAAGGCTTACACACCTGAATGCCAACTGTGGGCCTCAAGAAATACTTCATCTTCTCCAAGATTTCCCTCTGCAGAAGGTCCCATGCTATTGTCTTCTCTAAGTGCAGCACAAAAGGTAGTCCAAATCTAGCACACATAAATATTATAATCACTTTAAAAAGTATGACAATTCCTTTAATACTGTAACTCCTTATTCATGACCTTTTTAAATGGAATCACAATACAATTAGTTTTAGGACAGTTCTCAAAATAAAACAAACAGGAAATTTAATACTCTCATAAGTGGATGAAACAGTCAGAAGGGAAACTGAGATTTCTAAATGAAATTTAACAACTCATACACCAAAATGGCTTCTAATAGAGTATGGTGCCAGGTAATAAGATGACAGGATTAGTGGATATGGGGAGGAAAGCAGGTGGGAGTGGACACGGGTCTAGCAAGCAGCATGGGTCAAACATATAAGGGGTTAGGTGCCAGAGGAAAAGACAGGGCTGGAAGGTCTAGCAGGCAGGCAGCCACATCTGGGTGGCCTGACAACAAGGAAGGCACTGGCAAGTGACTGACACTAGAAGTCAGCTCCTAGCCTAGGGCAGAAGTCACATGGCCCCTGCCAGGTTTCCTATCCAGTGCTGAGCTCACAGGTGTTAGAGAATCAGAGGCAGAGCCATGGTTCTCAGCAGTGGCTGCAGGCTGAAATCAGCGAGGGAACTTTAAAACACAATGATTCCCCCGAGATTCTGCTGCAATCCCTCGGGTCTGTGGCTGGAGCACTAAGGCTGTTTGAGGAGCTCCCCAGGTGATTCGAATATGCAGCCAACGTGGAGGAGCACTGGCCTAGCCTTAACTCTCACCCAAGCCCCAGCCATTCAGACCTGCATACTGTGCTCTGAATGCGTCCGACTCACACCGCCAACGTACAGCCAATTCCCTCAGTCTGGACTACCCTTCTCACTCTTCGTTTAAGCTATTTCCTACTCGTCCGCAGAAGGAGCCACTGGCACCCTGTTGATCTGTTCCCTGAGTTCGGCTGCACTACAAATACTGCCTGCTTATTCTGCTGCCTCCACCAACAGACTGTGTTACCTGACAGCAGGAACTGTGACCGACTTATCTTCCTAGCCCAAACAGCCATACCTAGACAACAGTAGATGCTGAATGAATGAAAGAACAAGTGAATAAACAAACAGATAAACCCTGACTCAGGCCAAAGCAGGGGTGCTAAGGTCACCAAGAAACCTGCTCCTAACAAGTACCAGTTTACTCACAGTAGTACTCAAGAGTGAGCCTACCTTCCTAAAGACAACTGTGACGCGAAATAAGTTACAAGCACGATGTGTAAATCAGTAGCCATATTTTTCACACGACAATGCCCTCACTTTTAAGAGACTAGCATCATGAAAGGGATTTCATAATTTCTTTATTTTATATAAATACGATGAGCTGCCTTTTCTTCTGTCCCTTAAACATGTCAAGCTCCTTCTAATCTCAGCAACTTTTTTTCTTTTTAATTTTCATTGGAGTATAGTTGATTTACAATGTTGTGTTAGTTTCAGGTGTACAGCAAAGTGAATCAGTTATACATATATCCACTCTTTTTTAGATTCTTTTCCCACATAGGGGATTACAGAGTACTGAGTAGAATTCCCCGTGCTATACAAGTAGGTCCTCATTGGTTAACTATTTTATATATAGTAGTATGTATATGTCAATCCCAATCTCCCAATTTATCCCTTGCCCCCTTTCCCCCGGTAATATCCAGAGAAAACCATAATCCGAAAAGATACCTGCACCCCAATGTTCACAGCAGCACTATTTACAGGAATCAAGACGTGGAAGCACCCTAAACGTCCATCAGCAGAGGACTGGATAAAGATGTGGTACATATACACAATAGAATATTACTCAGCCATAATCTCAGCATCTTTGTACTCGATGTCCCCTCTTCACGGGATCCCTTCCCAAGAGGCTCACACAGTTCGCACCTTCCCACTTGGCTCAGCCCAGCTGCTGCGTCCTCAGGGAGGCCCCCCTCGCCTCCCTCTCTAATACAGTTTTGCTAGAGACCCCACCAGCACGTTCTATCACACCCGCATATTTTAACATCTTCAAAGTGACAACGACTGTCTGAAGTTAAATGTGTTTACTTGTCTTTAGTGGCTCTGTCCTAACTAGGATGCAAGCTCCATGAGAACACACAGATCCTGCTGTATCCCTAGTGTTCAGAATAGTGGCCAACACACTGTAAACACTAAAGGAGCTGCTAATGAACATCATAAACATACAAATCAACACATTTTGCTTTTACATTATTTACTATTCTTAAATAAGAAACTTATTTCAAAGCAACATTTTAAAAAGTTTATATAAATGCTACTCTGACAAATATTAGAAACACAGTATCCTTCCTCCCTGAGACACATCCATATCTTGTTATTACTCAAGTTACATTACTATGGTGATAAAGTTACTTTAAAAGTAACTCCCATACAGAAACTAACATAACATTGTAAAGCAAGTATACTCCAATAAAGATGTTTAGAAAAAAAAAAAAGTAACTCCCATAAATTCTTACAGAAGGAAACAGATTTGAGAGAGATTTCTAACTCCCAAATGTCTGACTACATGCAGCTGAATGAATACTGGTGCCATTTGCCAAGCCAGGAAATACTGGAGGGTCAGGTTTATAGGGAAACACAATGAGTTCAGTTTGGAACACAAGACTGAGGTGCACGTGCCATCCAAGTAGATTTGTTAAGAATTAATAGAAGAAAAAATGCTGTAAAGAAAGTAGCTGGATATAGGTCTATAGGTCTAGATACCCAGGAGGATCTTGAGCTGAAAATATACAAGAGAAATGTGCCTTTAAAAACTACATGAGCTTGGGAGCCATTCTAACTCAGATCTTATCATCCTAATTTTATCTTCTCCCCCTCCCAACCCCTCAAATCAGGTCAATTTACACACATGCTCTTTCTAAATATCAGAATCAACAATTAACTACTAAAAGTAAGGATTTTTTTTAATCCCTACTTTTTAAAACATTTGAAAATATTAGACTTTTAAAGTCTCAATATTTATTGGAAAATAAGCTGGTCTTCACCTTTTCCCTTGCTGCCCAGTGCAGGCTCGGTTACACACTAACAGAACAATCTTGTCGCTTCCTGCTGTCGTGGGGGTTAAGTCCGCTCTCCCCTGCTTTGCTGCTGCTTGTGTAGAAGAAGACAGTCTATAATGATCCAAGCCAAATTTCAAGTGGTTTAGGTTGTTGTTTAAGTGGATTCCTAAAACAAAATGAAAACTTACTTTAGCTCTTCAAAATTTTTTATTCTTTCATTACAAAAAATTTACCCATTAGAGAAATTAAGAAGTTGTCATTATGTTATTTAAGCTGCAATTGAAAAAAGGAACAAATGACCTACTTTGAGATTACTCATCTAGTCATAAGAAAATTTTTTGCATCCATTATTTCATTTAAACTCGCCCTACCTACCTACTACCTTAAAAACTGAAAATTAAAACTCTTCACTTCAATGAATATTAGTTTTAGAATGGCAAGTTTGCAGAGATGACCCACCAAGACAAACTTAAAGTGAGACCATACAAGCAGCAACCAAATAAAAAAATTTTAATAAAAAACAAAGACTAGTACATGTAGAATGATCTTCAATATTCCAATAGCAGCTTCTTTTCCCCACTTTAGACCCAGACTTATAAGAAACTCACAGCCATTACGGAACTTTAATACAATCAACTAGCCTGGATTGACCTACAATAAAGTGAACAAAAATATATGTTTGACAGGCACAGTGCTGGTTGCTAAAAACCAGGTCTTCAGACATGCCCCAAAGCAGAGCTATCTGTCAATCAGAGGTACTTAGCAATTCAGCACCTAGCACAAGGTCCTGCACTTAGTAGGAACTCAATAAATGCTTGACTAAATAATTGATCATTTCTTTAATCCTTCGGAAGTATAGCCTAAGGAAATGATACCCCAAACTGGAGAACAGAAGAAGCCCTCCACCACTACCACACCAAAGAAATAATAACAATATCACCAAAAGGGGAATAAAATAAAAGGTGGTTTACACAAAAGTATCCGTAGCAAAACTCCAGCAATAACCTAAATATCCAGCAACAGGAGATTTGCTGAACCTATTAACATACAGAGTTAATACTCAAATAAATTCCAGATTAATTAGAGTTTAGAAACGAGAACACAGAAACTAGAAATAAGGAAGAACTGAACCTTCACCAAGCTATTAGAGGGAAGAAAACTTTTTAAGCTTAAATACCATAGAGAAATCACAAAAGAGCAGCAGATTTCACTTCACAACCACCTTAAACTTTGGTATGAGAAAAATAAATAGAAGTCTGGATCTGAGACAATTAACAGGCTCATTTCCCAGGTTCTTGGCAGAAGTAAGGCTGGGAAGACCAGTTCTGCTAAAAGTGATCAGGATTCCCAATGAGATGAGAGGATACCACTCAACTGCTCAGAAGTCAAGCTCCGCATTCATAGTCCAGGCCCGTCACTACCCACTGTGTGACCGGGGCCCGGGACCTAACCTCTCTAAGTCTCAGCTCCCTCACCGGTGAACTGGGGAAGACAGTAGCCTCATATGCACCAACAAAATACTGATGAGGCCTTTGTGAAGAACAGAGGCTTACGCATATTCACTAGTGGTATATTCTTCCAACAAAGGCGCTCTCTGGCTAGACTATATAACCTTGGACCTCACCAAATTCATTTATAAATAGAAACTTAGTGTTAACCGTAAGCAATTGGGGTATGAAGGGGGACTGGGGGAAATTTTCAGTTAAACAAACGTTAACTGGGCTCTCGCTGTGTATTACGAAGTACACTAAACTGCTAGGTGCAGAAAGATAAAGCAAAGTGTAGTCCCAACTGCAGAGAATTTCACAGTTTGGTAGGAAGGATAGAGAACAGAGCATTTCCATACAACGTGCCAGTGTCAGAGATGAGCAGAAGCTACACTGGAACACAGGAGAGCAGAAGTCAGTCAGCCAGTCTGGGGTGGGGGAAGTGAGGAAAGGTTTTCTGGACAAGGTGATGATTGGCTATTGTTTACTATAATGCAACTAAAATTAGAAAACAATTTAAACAAACAAAAGCACATGTCTGAAAACACAACAACTAGAAAATAAACAAAAAAGCTCCCAAGTCAAAGAATGACAACTGAAATAAGACTCAAAAAAATAATAATGTGAATATGAGTAGACCAGAGAAAACTGAATCCTAAGCTGGCAGTGCAGAAAGCCGACCAACCCAAAATACAGAATTACCAAAGGTTCAGAGACTAGAGGCACCAGAGACCTCCAGAAGTAGGGGTGAAGGAAAAGAGGAACTAAAATAAGAACTTTCAACAGGGGTACCAAGGCCATTCAATGAGGAAAGAATAATCTCTTCAACAACGGTGCTGGGACTACTGAATATGCACATGCAAAAGAATGGAGTTGAACTCCTACTTCACACCACACACAAAGATTAACTCAAAATGAGTCAAAGACCCAAATGTAAGAGCTAAAACTATAAAACTCTTAGAAGAAAACACAGGTAAACCTCATGGCCTTGGATTTGGTGGTGGATTCTTGGATATGACTTCATAAAATTAAGAACTTCTATGCATCAAAAAACACTACCAAGGAAGTAAAAAGATAGCCCACAGAATGAGAGAAAATATTTGCAAGTCATATATCTGACACAGGTCTAGTATCCAGCAGATATAAAGAACTCTTACAACTCAAAAACAAAAAGACAAGCAACACAATTTTGAAGCAGGTAAAGGACTTGAATAGACATTTCTCTAAAGAAGATACACAAATGGCCAAAACCCACATGAAAAGATGATCAACATGATCTGTCATTAGGAAAATGCAAATAAAAATCACAATGACATACCACTTTGCACCCACTAGGATGGCTATAATCAAAAAGACAGAAAATAACAAACATTGGCAAGAATGTGGAGAAATTATAACCCTCATATATTGTTGGTGGGAATGAAAAATGATGCAGTTGCTATGGAAAACAGTCTGGCAACTCCTCAGAAAGTTAAACATAGAATTACCATATGACCCAGCACTTCCACTCCTAGGTACATACCTACAAAGGAACTGAAAATAGGTATTCAAACAAATACTTGTACATGAATGGTCATAGCAGCAGTATTTCATAATAGCCAAAAGGTGGAAACAACTCAAATGTCCATCAACAGATGAATGGATAAACAAAATGTGGTATATACATATAATGGAATAATACTCAGCCGTAAAAAGGAATGAAGGACTGATACATGCTACAATGTGGATGAACCTTGAAACACTAGGCTAAGTCAAAGAAACAAGTCACAAAAGGCCACTTATTATATGATTCCATTCATATCGAAGTCTAGACTAGGGAAATCTATAGAGACAGAAAGTAGAATAACGACTGCTTAGGACTGGGTGGGATGGGGAGATTGGGAGGTATCCTTAGGGGAGACAAAGTAGGAGCTAATGAGACAGGAGCTGGAGAAATGAATTTTTAGCAAAGCGAACAGTAGGGAAAGTATAAAAGCATGTGGCATGTTCCAGAAATAAAGAGTAACTTGGATAGGGTACATGGGGAAGAAAATAGAATATAGTAGAGGCTGAAAAAAAGGCAAGGACCAAATCGTGAGGGGCCATGCATTCTTCCCAGGTATTCAGATTTAATCGCAGACAAAAGGGAAGCACTGGTAAATCAATAAGCACGTAACGTGGTCAGAACTGTACGTCAGAATAAGTCTGGTGGTGCTGTGAAGAAATAACTGAACGGGAGAAAGCCCAGGGATAAAGAAGCTACTAGAAAAGCCCAGGTGAGACTGGTCTGCACTGTGTCAGTCGCAGTAGAATGCAGAGGAAAACTTCAGTTGTGAATTTAAGTCAAAATCTGAGGGAGAAGTGTTTGGGTCCAGCTTGGGTGAAGAGAAGGATGGTGATGCCGCATTTCACAGAAGAAACGCAAGAGGAGCTAAGAAAGAAACGCTCAGTGTAAGATACCTGCAGGACTATAAATAGAGTTTCCAGTGGACAGCTGGAAGTCAGGGAATGGAACCAGAAGAAAAGTGGGGGCTAGTGGAGAGTTTAGCTCTAAAAATCACCAGTAGAAAATACTGGCAAGACTGGGTAGAGCAGCGGTTCTCAAACTTTCACATGCATCAGAATCACCTGTAAAAAACAGATTGCTGGGCTCTGCCCCCAGCGTTTCTGTTCAGCAGGTCTCGAGTGGCACCTAAGAATTTGCATTTCTAATCAGTTCCCAGGAGACACTGATGTTTTGACAACCACTGGAGTACAGCAAACAGAATAGAAGCCCTAGGATCTTGAAGAACACTAAGGCCAGGAACAAAGTTTTTCCCAAGAACTGCCTTCTGCCAGGGAAATATGTTACCTAAAATTTATACCATCATAAAAAGATGTGTTATGTGTATTTTACCACAACTTAAAAAAATTATACCATCATATAATCTAAGAGGGTAGACATTTGTTAGACCTGCAAACCCAGGTGGTATTATGGAAACAGATACTCATTTACCTCTTTGACTGAGAATTCCTTCAGGCCTAAATATTTCTGGAGTCTCAAAGGCAAAAATGCAGTCGCTTTCATGGACTGTTTCCAGGTCGTCTGTGTCACAAAAGGAACGATGGAACCCATCATAGTACATTTCTGTTAACACAATCTAAAAATGGGAAAAATGTAAATAGTTGGATAACTGGAAAGTCAATATGAATTGATCTCCCAATCCAGCTGTGAACGTCTCCAGACCAGCAGGACCGCAGTGATCTGAGGGCTTGGAAACACCTCATCAAGCCGATGTGATTTGCCTTTAATAAGAGAGTCTTGGAAGCACAATATCTTCTATGATTGTATAACAACTGTATGATTGTATAATAATACTCTGATTTCAGAGTGCTGTGGCACTAAATCCAGAGTTTCCTCTAAGTTTTGGTGGAGAGACTCAGCAGATACAAAGTCTAAGGCCCTTCTTTCACAGGGGGAAGAAACTAAAGAGAGACGGAGTGACTTGCCTAAGGTTATACAACTACTCAGCCTTGTAGCGAGGATAGAGTCCACATCTGACTCCGAGACTTTCTCCTACCATTAAATTTTCTTCTTTTCAGATTAAAAAATGTCAAATAATCATGGACATTTGTGTTGGAAAAAAAATGAAATCAACTCAAACGTCCAACAAAAGGAACTAGTTAACTATACTATAGTTCTACTGGAATTATAAAGCGCTTCCAAAGAATGAGCTGCATATATTTGCACTAACGTGGAAAGATCTCCTAAGTAAATATTAAAAGTAGGGAAAGAAAAATGTGACTACATTGTTCCATTTTCATAAAATATTAATATAGTACATGCACAGGAAAAAATATGAATGAATATACAACACAGTATTAAAGTTAGTAACCCTTAGTTCTTAAGATACTTAGTACAAGATACTTTCACTTCTAAGTTAAGTTTCTGAAATGGTTGAGTATTTTGTAATGAAAGAAAAACAAAAGATGGGGAAAAAGACAATGGAGACATTTAGAGACCTCATTACGTGCTCAGCAGCACCCTCTAGTGAAAAAGCACTGGACTGAGCTTGAAGAAGTTCCAATTCTGGCCTGCCACCGCCAACCAGCCCTGTGATCTTGAACAAGTCACATGGTTTCTCTGGGCCTCCTTCAAATGAGGGGGTTGGACTGGACCCCTAAGGTCCCCTCTACTATCACAAACATACTATGAGTTGATGAGGTGAAAGGAGCTTGGTGGCATATTCCACAAACAGTCCAAGAAAAATATTTCTGGCCCTTTTTTCTTCTAATGATTTTAATGACCGTATTGTTTTCCTGAAGGTGAACATGCAAGTATAATTCACTTTCTCCAGCAAGCTGAGGTCAAAAACAAACTTGTAATTACATCACTCATTTAAACAATGCAAAAAGAGCCAGACAGCACTGGAAGATTTAAAGATACAGACAGATCTGCCTCGACACACACCTAAGCCTCCCTCTTTCTGTCATTTCCCTCACCTTGAATTTAAAATAAATAAATAAGTAAATAAATCAATGAGCACCTCAAAGTAAGGAAAAATGTGAACATTTTATCAATCTGCCAGTACTTGGCCTATGAAAATATGAGATATTTGCTATATCAGGGCAACACTGCTGGTTGTTTTTGTTTTACTGTGGTAACTTCTCAAATGAGGTCACAGGAGGCCAAAGTACAAAACACCTTTATTAGTCACATGATTACACAGCAGCTTCCAGAAGTTATCTAGGGAAAACTATTCAGCCACTGGATCCTCTTTCCTTGGTAAATTTTAAATAGGGAATTTTTTTCCAAATAAAACCCCAACAGTGAATTGAGTAAAAGAGTATGCAAAAGTATGTCAAGTCACAAACAGGCCAAAATTATTTTCGGTCAATATAACTACTTATCAAAAATTTACCCAAAAAAGAAAGGGAGGAGATACAACTTTCCTTTCTCTTCTCTAAACAAGGTAAGAGACTCTAGCCTAGCTTTAATCAGAAAATAAACCAAACTGAGTACCTATATGTACTGTACTAGAAATAGGCCCATTCTCATCACCATAATGGGAAGGGATTTTCAAGAGCCACTGGTTGAGTTTTCTAAGCCTCTCTGACCTTCAAATACCACAGGATGCTCTTCCTATTGCCCACATGAGCACCCACAGAATGACTTAAGAGGTGTTAACTAATTATACTTTATAAACAAAGCTGAAAGAAGGTCTTGGTGTAAAGTCATAGCTTTTCCTTTTAAATATATATATACAATTAAATGAAGCATGAGAAGTTTTTGTGTGTATTTTTCTCCTTTGGATCCTAATTTTTCATTTTTTCCCTCAACACTAGAAACAACTGGTTTTAAATTTCTCTCCAACCATGTTTGGCTGAGAACTGTTACAAAATTCCAGAAGAAAAGAAAGCAACACTTTTGTGACCCGTGTGTAATCGGTCTTAGCAAGCTTATTACCTGATCAGTGGGGATCTTTGTTTCCATAGACACTGCTTCCCGAAGTCTGGCGACAGTCCCAGACAGAGGCACGGCCACACCAATCCGCATGCAGTGAGAACATTTCCCTTGATACACTACAGTGACATACAGAGGCCTGTACAGATCAAAGTCAGATATTCTTATTAGTCACTTACTTCAACTAAAATATAGAAGCAGGACAACCCTGACCTGGAATCAACAAAACTAAAGCTAACCCACACCTTTAATTGGACCTAAGTAGAACTATCAAACAACAATCAAGAACTCTTTGGAAAAGGCAATACAGCATAATAATAAAGGCAGCACAACAAAAATACAGCATATCAATACTTGGTTCTGTGCTTTGTATTTTCTTTATAACAGCGTAACTCCTAGAAATTTCAAGGAACAGTTCAAATAAAGCAGCTAATTCAAAGTGGAACGTAAGGTCTCTAGAGGCTCTAGAAGGCATTCAGCAACCTTCTCCGGCCCCAATACTATAGATGGATGACCTATACGCGGAACAGACTACAACCAGACCAACCAAAAAGACTTGCTTGCCCCATGCACCTGCTCACCCTGCAAACTCAGAAAGGCATTTATAAATTTCTATAAGGCCTTAACAATGCCTGTATTCAATTTATCACTAAGCCTATTACTTGTTTAAATATGCAAGAAGCCCCAACAGGAGCCTAGGAGGAAAAGGAACATATAGGAATATAGTCTTAATTTTATTAACTCTGTTCTTACCTTGTGTGGGGTAGTGGAATTGGCAAAGAAATGCAGAGGAAAGGATCAAAAGTGTTGCTCTGCTTCTGGCAATGAGGACATGTCAAAGAAGATCTGCAAAAATAAAAATGTAAGACACTCACATTAAGATCACCTAGAACTACATAAGCACACAACATAAGGGAAATTTTAATTTGCTCGTACCTGTACTGGGCTTGAAAAAGTTCTTGTACGAAAGTGCTACAGACAGGAAAAGATGGTCCCTCGGGCATCATATCAGTCTCTGATGGTGGCTAAAAAAAAATAAAGTACAATTTCACAGACTAAAAGTGCCAGCTCTTGATTAAAGATGAGCCTAAAAATGTCACAGATGTCCTTGACCTCCTTTCCAAGATCTGCATCAGATCCAGATGTTTCAGGGAAAGACATCTGCTAAAGGGACCAGAACACAGATGCCGGGGTGTGGATCACATGGACTCATCGCCTCACAGGCTCTCCCAGACACAGTGCTTATCCGTCTCTCCACCCCATCCAGGCAGTCGGGCAGTCCTTCCCCAGAGCGCTCCAATCCCCCTCCAACTCTCAAAGGGCCCCCTCCAACCTCTTCCAGGAAGTAATCCCAACTATTCAGAAGTGCCCATTCCTCCCCTGCCTAAAGAGAATGTTTTGTCTGGCAAGTATTACCTCTGCTGCTTATCTGGGCCTAATATTTCTACTTCACATTTTACTTAACCTTTTCATGTCCCTCCCCCTTACAGTTACTGAGCATCAGCTACCACGTGCAGAGAGCAATGCAAAGGGCATTAAGATACAAAGATAATGAGACACAGTGCCTGCCCTTGAGTACGTCTCAATCTGGTGGGAAAGTCAGCCGCAAGCATATAGTCATATGAGAGTACAGAATGTTCAGGCACAAAGGACCCTGAATCAGAATACTTCAACAACTTACCAAAACTAGAAATTTAAAACTTGAGGTATATACAATGTTCACTGCAGCACTATTTACAATCGCCAGGACATGGAAGCAACCTAAATGTCCATCGACAGATGAATGGATACAGAAGATGTGGCACATATACACAATGGAATATTACTCAGCCATAAAGAGGAACAAAATTGAGTTATTTGTAAAGAGATGGATGGACCTAGAGTGTCATACAGAGTGAAGTAAGTCAGAAAGAGAAAAACAACTACCGTATGCTAACAAATATATATGGAATCTAAAAAAGTGGTACTGATGAACCTAGTGGCAGGGCAGGAATAAAGATGCAGACATAGAGAACGGATTTGAGGACACGGGGGTGGGGGGAAGGGGAAGCTGGGACGAAGTAAGAGAGTAGCACTGACATATATACACTACCAAATGTAAAATAGATAGCTAGTGGGAAGCTGCCGCATAGCACAGGGAGATCAGCTCAGTGCTTTGTGACCACCTAGAGAGGTGGGATGGGGAGGGTGGGAGGGAGGCTCAAGAAGGAGGGGATATGGGGGTATATGTATACGTATGGCTGATTCACTTTGTTGTACAGCAGAAACTAACACAACATTGTAAAGCAATTATACTCCAATAAAGATATAAAAATAAATAAATAAAATAAAATAAAATTTGAGGTACAGAAAAGAATTATCAAAAATTTTTAAAGCTGTGAGAGGAGAACACTTTATTTGCATTATATAAATCATTTTACCCATCATACTAAGATTACATAAATAAAAACTGAGAATGAATCACTTTTTCTCAGTAAGTATATTCTAAGGGTTCAGTTCCTACACTCAAATCGAATCCTAACAGCAGAGACATCAATACATTTCCTTTTTGATTGTGTATTCACATTCCAATGATCTACAGACTATGTCTCATTGGAATAGAAAGCAAATTTCTGCTTTAAAAACAGTTTAGCGAGATGGAATCCCTTAATGTCAGTCTAAAGGTAGTCATACATGCAAATGTGTCCCCTCTCATGAGAGTGTAAGCTCCTACCTGACACTGCCAGCACAGTGGTAAACAGAGGAAATAGTCCCTAAGTATCCATGAATTTTATACTCACCCAGAGCTTAGTCAATTTTACTATATTAACTAACTGCAAACTGCAACAACTCCTCAGAGGAGGTTTGGAAGAAGAACCTATACTCACTCCTCACTAGTTCACCGGTTCACCGGTGGCCTGTGCTGAAGCCACCCACTGCTCCCTGACTGCCCTGAGGGCGCGCCCTTACCTTCAGAGGAGGCTGGCCACTCTGCTTCACAGCATGATTGAGGTCTTCATGAACTCGGTCCAAAAGCCACAGCAGAAACTCCTGGGCATCATGCTGGGAATTCCCTCGATATTGCAGTGCATTCTTTGACACAATACTCTACACAGGTAAATAAATCAGCATGAAGAGTTGTGAGTTCCTGGCTTTAAACATAAACTATTCATAATCCCAAAGAGGAACGCAAGATCTCAAGGGTGTTAGAGAATACTTCCTGGAAAGACAGCAAATATGAAAACAGATGCTCAATGTAAAAACCTCACCCATGTACCAAAAACTTTTAAATGCACCTACCCAACAATCCTACTTTTAGGAATATATGTAAAGGAAACCATCAACACAGCATGCCAAGACTTCTAAGATATTCATTCACTAATAGCAAAAAACTGGTAATAACTTGAACATCTTAAAAATGAGAATTGTTATAAATATCAAATCATTATGTTGTTAACCTGAAACTAATGTTATATGTCAATTATACCTCAATTTTTTAAAAAGTAAAAGAAAAAAAATGAGAATTGGTTAAATAAGTATCACAGTATTTGATTATAAACCAAAGTATAAAATAACCAAGTCTATGTAAGGTAAATGACTGAGTGAATAAATAAGTGGGAAGAGATAAATCTTCCTTAAAGAAGAATTCTGAATAATTTATGTCAATAATCCAGGAGTTGGATCTTAACCCCCCCAACCCCGCCCCACAACCTTGAATATAGACTGTGACAGTGACTTGCTTCCAAACTAGAGTATGCAAAGAGGGGTGGCCATGAATGGCTGTAGGTGAACTGGTTAATTAAAATTAAGATTATGGGCTCTGGAGCATATAGCCTGAATTCAGATCTCTCTGTCCTACCACTACTTGTGAGGCCTGGCCTACTCTGCTCCAAAGTAAAAAGGATAATAATGGTTTAGTGTGATGGTCAAGTGAGAATGCATATAAAATATTTCACATGTAAATGATATATAATAAGCACTCAAATTTTAGCTATGAATATTGGATTTGGAAGTAGGGAGAAAGGAGGGGAGACAACTGCACAAAGAGAGAGCAGTTAGGAGACAAATGAAACCATCAGGCAAGAAACAATAAGGGTCTAAACTAAGTCCGTGAGGGCAAATTTGAGAGAGATTTCAAAATTGGGGCAGTAGAATCAATAGGATTTGTGACCTAATGAATGTGGAAAGTGAGGATGGAGGCATTAATGTCATTCAGGTGTCTTATCTGGATGATGGGCCACTGGTGGTTCCCTTCATCAAGACAAAATAAAAAAGGAAGAAGTCTGGAAAAGAGGATGATGAGTTCCCATTAGAATCCACTATCTCTGAAGTTCTGTGGAACCTCCAAATGGAAGTACCTGGCAAACAACTAAAAAAAAAAAAACAGATCTGGCACTCAGCAGAAGAGTCTGCGCTCAGGACAAAGGTTTGGGGGTCAACAGATGGGTGGCACTTGAAATCACGAGTATGGCTAAGACTGCCCAGACAAGATCATGAGAGATCAAGCCAGAGGACAGAATCCAGAGGACTTCTATATTTAGGGGGCCCTAAAAGAAGACTAAGAAAAGGCCATCAAAGATGTGGCAAGAATCAAGAGAAGAGAGCTACGAAGGAGAGAGTGAGCAACTGTATTAAAAGTGAAGAATGACAAAGTAAGCCAAAGAACTAATAACTGTCCATTGTATTTTCCAATTAATGATAACAGAGATGAAAAGAAGGGGTACATTTTTAATTATGAAGAAGAACCATCACAACATGATGATCAATTAGATGTGAATAACAAAAAGATGATCTACAAAATTCGAAGTTAAGGAGGAAAAAATCAAAGCAATGCAAATGAGAATATACAAGTGTCACTGGCAAAACTCACTAACTGAACAAAGTGCACAAGGGAGAGAAAGGACCCTGGTAACAAACAAGATTTCAAGTGACTTGAAGGATACCACTTGGGTGCCACCTCAGAAACAGGTACACAAAAGGCGGAGTGAGTGTGGGGAAAAGTCTTCACTACACTACAGAACTTACCCCAGAGGTCAGACGCCACCCACATCACCAAATCTAATTTCTTCTTTCTCAGTCTTCACCTTTTTCATTCTCCCTGTAGCATTTTATATACTTGACATCTTACTCCATCTTGAAAAGGTTTGGCTTGCAGCCATGATTATGTTCTCATTTAGGAGAACAAAAACTAAAGCCACTGGCATGAAGAGCAAAAGAAAGTGAGCTACAGAAGACAGAGACCTCCTAGCAAAGAAAAATGAATCAGTAAAAAAAAAACATCAGCAGCACTAGCAGGTAAACCTGTGGCTGATTCAGGATGGAAGAGAAAGAGATGACTGGTGACACTATATTGAGTGATATAAAGAAGAAATCGGGGATGACACCAAGGTTTTTAGTTTCGGACTTCGGTGCATAACGAAATCGGGAACTGAGGAAGAGACTGGGGACTGCAGAGCTTTGAACATGTTGAGTTTGAGGTACCTACAGGATCTCAAGTGAGGTTAGATCTGGTGCTCAGGAAAGAGATCTGAGCTGGAAAGTTAAATCAGAGCACATACACCTATCATATGAGCATAGAGGAAATAGGGAACATTTAATGAGAAAAGGAGGCAGCTGGGGCGGAATCTTATAGAAGGGACAAGTCACAGAAAAGAAGCCCAAGAAGAATATAAGAGGTAGCAGCCAGAAGAGAGCGGCATCACACAAGCTGACGGAGAAGAAACCTCCAAGGAGATGGAAACGACGTAAACCACCACAGAAAAGTCAAGTAAGACAAGCACAGAGATGGGTCCTTTGGAATTGCAAATTAAGAGATTGACTGCCTGTGCAATTTCAGTGACACTGATCAGAGAGACTAAAGGAGAAGAAAAGGTACTGACACTGAATGGTTACAAGAAGACCACTCTTCACATACAAGAAGCTTGGTTATAAAAGGCAGGAAGAAAGATGCCGTAACTCTCTGGAAGGGGCACCTACAGGACAGAGGGACTTAGTGCTGAGGGAAGAAGCTAACAGAAAGGAGATACTTGAAGAAAGAGGATTCTTCCATAAGGGGAGAAGGAAGGATTCAGAAAAGAGGTAGAGGAACTATCTTAAACAGGAGGTAAGAGAGAAGAGAAGGAGGTAAGGATAGTTATGGATTCAGAGAAGTTATAGACAGGAAGGCAGGGAAGCTTTGTTTGTTTTGTGGAGGAAGCAGAGGCCAATTGCCAAGAGGAAGTTTTAGGTTCAGCAAGGGTAAAGACAAATCTCATGGCATATAGTTGGGGCACACAAAATGCTAGAAGCATAACAAGCTTCTGTTCAGGACCCTCTCCCTTATTTACTCCCAACGGGGAGGGAGAGGTAGTTCTCAGTATATGTATCCTAAGAAACAAATTAGCTGAAATCAAACGCTTCTTTTTGTGTCAAAGCAGATATTTTATGCACGGTGGCCACCAGAGTGGAGACAACATTCAGTTCTTTATCAGGATTGCATTAAATCTGATTCATGCTTCCTGCCACTATCACGTCAACTCATCCAGCATTTATCCTCCAATCACTCTGTAAAAGGTGCTGTGCTGAAGCTGCTCAACAAGATTTTTGTTGGGCACGACTAAACAAGCAACAGGACTTCTACAACCCTCTGTAACTACGGCCAAAACTGCTCTGGGTCAACCCCGCCCTAAATCACTATATCTCAAACTAAATGAAATTTTAAAGGAAACCTCACTGAACATACACAACACAAAGGCTCCTTTTTCCCTACACAACGGTGACTTCTTCCCACTGCAGAGACCCAAGGGACTATTTATTTTACTTCTTCCCCAGAGAAACCATAACACAGAATAACCTCGTAACCATCCTTTAGCGTGTGTTACAGAAGGAAGAAACATAGTAGGAGTCAAGAAACCTGGGCTCCGTCTTCCCTGGTGGCGCCGTGGTTGGGAGTCTGCCTGCCGATGCAGGGGACGCAGGTTCGTGCCCCGGTCCGGGAAGATCCCACATGCCGCGGAGCAGCTGGGCCCGTGAACCATGGCCACTGGGCCTGCGCGTCTGGAGCCTGTGCTCCACAATGGGAGAGGCCACAACAGTGAGAGGCCCGCGTACCGCAAAAAAAAAAAGAAACCTGGGCTCAAGCATGGCTCTGCCACACACGGATGGTTATCTTAGGTAACTCACCAAACCTGATTCCTGGTCATACAATGAAGCAGTTGAACTGGACCACCACAGAGACCCTGGCATCCCATATCTTCACCCAAGCTCTGCCCCTAGAGTCCCAGCAAGTGATTTGGTTTTTCTTTTGGGCCATATCTGACACTGCTTTGGTTTGTCTTTTATGATTTTTTCTTCCTAATAAATCTTGGTTTATTTGATGTCCTAAAATTAATACTTCCGTATTTTTGCAGTTTTTTAAAAAGTTGATTATCACTAGAATATGTCATCTGTAAATATAAGCATTGCTACAATGTGAGAAACCATTTGAAATTAAATTTGACACTTCTATGAAAAATAGAGAAGAACCTTCTTAAAATTAACCTTACACATCTGTGTCTATTTTATAGAATTTGGGTATGATTCTGGTTTGTAAAAACATTAAACTGAATCTGTTGCTTTAAATCCTTTACATCCTATTACAAATAAATGTAACCATCATTCTAATTTTCCATTCAGGATGATCCCTAACATCTAGTTACTATAAAGTAAAAGTCTAACACATTTGTAGGGCCTTCAAGCCTCATAAAATTTCTTCTTACCCTTCAAATAAAACCTTAAGGACTAGAACTACAGAGAACTTTTTTTTCCCTTAAAGGGGAAAAAAAATGAGTTGGAAGCATGGTCCAGAAAAGGAAAAGAATGAAATCTATCCAACTGGAGCTATAAAACTAGACATGAGGTTCTTTCTTTCCACAGAGCCCTAGTACAGAAGCAGCAGAATCCTGGGCTCCAGCAAAAAGACAGTAATTGGTTCAAGACATCATTTACCTGACTCCAAGAAGATGACAAAGTAATGGCTATTGGTGATTGCCTCCCATGGGGAATGGACATGGCAGTACCGGTCTGACACGACTGATCAGGAGTTGGCTTACTCTTTTGGGGAAAAGGTGGCTTGCCAAAACTCATCAAAC